CACCTTAATATTTTTATACAATATCCAAATTATCCATATAACCCTAACATCTCTTTCTTCTATTTTTCCCTTTTCATGTTTGGCATAACAACTTCAGCACTTTTATCCAAACGCATAACTGCTTATTTTAAAAATAAGTTTCAGGACTTTCAAAAGTACTTTTTTAAAGCTGCTTTTATTAAGCCCATCCAAACGGACCCTAAATAAATATTTGAAAGATAAATTTTTCAAAATTTACCTTCAAGATCTTTTATGCTTAGATACCTTAATGAAGTTTCCGTATTTTAATTTCTTTGTCTTACTTTACTTTTAGAATATGTTTGGATTGACTTTTGACTTATGACTTATAAGCCAAAAACCATAAGTTAGGATTTATCCAAAGAAACACTTAGTCAATTTTATAAAAATGCATCTTTTTTTTTTCTGTGACGTTTTAATTCTAACTTTCCATATTTAAAATAAGATTAAAGGACATTAGTTATATTTTACATATCTTTAGTTCAAGTTCACAAATTTAACATGTTTTATTATTCTTTAAAACTTATATAAAACTAGACAATTAAATTGAAACGAATAAAATGATAAATAAGAATATTGTTTTGACTTTTTCCGTAGGTGATATGGTTCGTGTGTAACAAGATGGGAACTTGGAAGATATAATACTACGTACCTACTATATAGATAAGCACTTAAATTCTAAAATAATCAAAAGTCTAAATAAAATAAACATCAAGAAGTTCCTTGTGTTTAAACAAGTTGATGTAATTAGTGGTTAAATCTTTTTAACATATATTATGAACAAACAAAAAAAAAAACGTCTATTAATTTTTTTTTTACCAAATTATGAATAAGCAAAAACATAACTCATAATATCTCAAAAAGATTTGAAGCTAACCTTAAACGGATTCGAGTTAATTGGAAGCACGACGAGCAAATAAATCATAATTTTGTGTGTCCTTTTTAAATTATTATATTTTCTCGTATAACAAGTCGAGGTTTTCAAAATATAAAAATTTAGCATAATATCTGAATGTACTTTTAATTTTTCAATTAATAATTTTTTTTTAAATTTTAATTGCGCACAAACACATACCTTAAATTTGTGTAAATTATATAAGTTGAAACACACATTTTATATGATATAATGCAAATTAATTTAAATATATCTTATGCAAATTTACATTTTTTTAATATATGGAAGAGTAAAGAACAATGACGATCAAGATAATTTTGTAAATTTACAGTGACATATCACGTTCCAGAATCATCTGTCTTTTTCTCTAACATTCAGAACAAACATGAAAAAAGTAATAGATGGAGTATGGAGCATACATTGAATGAATTTTCTTCAAATTGAATTCAAGTATAAACTGCGAGTACAGTTCTGTTAATCCCTTGATTCTACTCTCCTAGGATTTATCTATGATTTGAGTTAGTGGCGTATTTCTCGAACTAGAATGATTTAGATTTGACTTCTCTATATGAATAATCCATCAATTTGTAGAATATTCGAGATCTTGATCTCTTTATGGAACTTTTGAGATGCTCCTAAGGAAATTTAGTACCTCTATATAGGCATAAACTAGGGTTTAGGGTTGAGTAGACTATAATGATCCTTATTTGAGTTGAACACAATTTGTAATGTCTCAACTCGAATTGAACGCATCTAATAGAGTCTCATAAAATTTGAAAAAAGGATACTGGCATATACAGTTGTCTTATAACTTGAATCTGAAGAGGAAAGGGGTTGTGCATTAGGCATGCCAATTCCCTCTTATGGCAAATCAAATTTTACCTTTTTTACCAAAGAGAAAGCAAATGGATATACAAATTGTCTTTTATTACTTTATTTTATTTACTTTGATTTATTTCTTAATATTTTTTATATTTAAAAAATACTGACTTTAAATATATAAATTAATTAGTTTCACCTTTATTTTGGCTTAATTCATGTACTTTTAAAAAAAATAAGTGTGATAAAATTAATAATATATATTAGAATTGATATTAAAGAATAAAATACTACTTTTAAAAAATAACGGTCCAAACCAGCATTAGTTATTTGTATCCAAACGTGTCATTGTCCTAGCTAGCTCTATCACCTAAATAAAGTGACTCATCTGATCCTCTTTTCCACAAAAACTAATTATAAAAACTCAGTGAGTTTAATATTTGTTCATAAATTAATATTTTAAAATAATATAAATTAAATGATATGATATTAAGCATAAATTAAGTACATGATAAATATTTATAAATTTTAAGTAGTATTGATTAAAGGATTTTAAATTATGTTACTTGGAAACAAATTATAATACATATTTGTGTGTGATTTTATATCATCTCATTATTTTTGCGTGCAGAAGTCCATTAAAATCTTCGTAATTAAACATTTTTCGTAATTGATGGTTGATTTTTTAGGCCATGTCATTCAACTTGAAACTATAATAAAATAAATTTTTATTTTTGTCAGTGATTTTATTTGTTTTTGGAAATGTCCCTTTTAATTAAAGTTGGTGAACTGAATTCCAGCTGCCAAGCATTGACTTCCTTAGATCATGCTATGCTCGTTGCTTACTTGATTTCCTCTCTTTTTCTTTTTTTATCAATCATCAACTCTTTCTCCATCTTACTCCAATCATTCTCTCCCCTAAAGGTAAAATATACTTCTTCTATATCAATTTTTTTTTAATTTCTTGATAAAAACATATATTTTTTTCCTCAATGCACATGAATAAATTATCGTTGTGTGTGAAAAAATTCAGATGAATTTCCCTGTTTTTGCCATTAGAATTTCAAGAATTTGCCACTCACCCATGGATATAACCAATATCACTATTGTATTGTATGATGGTCCTTGTATATGCACTTGCCTTTGTTAGGAATTGATGTAGATTTAGTCGAGGGAAAAAATACCACATTTAACTAGTAGTGTCGGTGAAGCTCATAATCAACAAACACATGGATAGTGAAAAAGGTGTTTAAAAAAATTAGCCAAGAATTGCGTATATGATTTGGTTATATGTGCAGGGATGAAGTGTTTTCAGTTCTCTAATGATGATCATAACAAGACTAGAAAGTCAACATCAGGCCAGTCATCTGCCTCTGTTTTCACAGATTCTGACCTCAAAGGATCTGAATACAGCTCACAAAATGTATCAACGGACATTAGCACGGTCTCGTTTTCGTGCTTGTCTAATAAAAAGGCTTGTCACCTTAAGGTCTTCACAGTTGAAGAGTTGAAGAGCGCGACAAAGAACTTTAGTCGATCCCTCATGCTAGGAGAAGGAGGATTTGGAGGTGTATATAAGGGTGTTTTAAAGGACACAAATATTGCGGTTAAGCAACTCAGCCAAAGAGGCTTGCAGGCTAGTTTCATTTAAGATTGAATTTTTATATTTATGGTAGAATGTGAAACAAAAATTATAAGTATTTGAGTTTGTGATATAGGGGCATAAGGAATGGGTGACGGAAGTGAACGTCCTAGGTGTGGTGGAGCATCAAAATCTTGTCAAATTAATAGGCTATTGTGCAGAGGATGATGAAAGAGGAATACAACGTTTACTTGTATATGAGTTTTTGCCCAACAGAAGTGTACAAGATCATCTAATAAGTCGTTATATGTCACCTTTGCCATGGGAAACAAGGCTAAATATCGCTCGTGATGCTGCTCGAGGATTGGCTTACCTTCACGAGGGAATGGAGTTTCAGGTGGTGATTCTCTTAAAACACTTTTTCTCATTATCATACTTTTGCACTTTCGTGTTTGATAAAATATATTCTTGTGCAGATTATCTTTAGAGATTTCAAATCCTCTAACATTCTCTTGGATGAGAAATGGAATGCAAAGTTGTCTGATTTTGGCTTGGCCAGATTAGGACCTTCCGACGGATTAAGCCATGTCTCAACAGCGGTATGCTCAATATCTCCATTCAATTAAAAATCTCTACTATGTATTCGAAATAGTATGGCACCCCTACTTAACTCAACTCTAGCTAGGTGAAATTTCCTATTTTGTACAACATTTATACTTTATCTAAATCATATGCCTTTGATTTTCATTAGGTGGTGGGAACTGTTGGATATGCTGCTCCAGAATATATACAAACTGGACGCCTAACGTCCAAGAGTGATGTATGGAGCTATGGGGTGTTTCTGTATGAACTCATCACAGGCAGGCGTCCGTTGGACAGAAATAAACCCAAAAACGAACAGAAACTTCTCGAATGGGTAAGACCCCATCTTTCCGACCTGAAGAAGTTTGAACAAATATTGGATCCTCGATTAGATGGAAAGTATTCCATTAAATCTGCTCAGAAGTTAGCTGCCATAGCTAATAGGTGTTTAGTTAAACATCCGAGGAATCGTCCAAAAATGAGTGAGGTTTTGGAGATGGTAAATCAGGTTGTGAAGGCAACTGAAGCAAAAATTCCACAAACACCTATAGACGAAAGTTCAACACCAAATGTCGACGATGACATGTTTATGGTAAGGTGTCTCACTGCAAGTAGAAGGCTGGTAGAACACACATCAAGAGAAAACAAGTTGCTGGTTTGGAAGTTGTGGAAGCCTAAGCTTGTCAGTTCAAATTGAGCAGCAGAAATGAAACTAAAGTTACTCTAGCTACTTTTGGTTTTCTTGTGCAAAAGAATCACTTGAAGTGTAATATATTTTACTCGGACTCTTCAAAAATGTCACTTGGATGCATGTTCAAAAGTGATGCATCTTTAGAGGATTCGACATGGGTGCAACTGCATTTTTGGAGAGTCCGAACAACATAGCTGATATCAGTATTGACCATGATCTTCATAAGCTTTTCTAGCATTTACTAACCATTATAATTCCAGCTTTCTGAGACTGCCTTCCCAGCAAAGAAACCGTGGCCGAGAGGGCTATTGGCACAGTTGTGTCTATTCTATTCTGTGAGGATAATATAGATCGATGTATAGTCCGAACAACCTTTTTCTTCCAATAGTCAAAATGCATTAATATTACTCTTAGTTTTGTTGAAGGCAAAAAGCTAAAAAAGAAAAAGAAAAACCAAGTTTCGGAATAGGTATAGACACAAACAACAACATACTATAAGATTGTGATTGGATCCGCATATGTTTGGTAAAGAGAAAAATAGACGGTGTTCAATTGAAACATCCAGTATAGTTCCACAAGTGAGGTTAAGAGCGAGTATGGTTACGTAAACTTAAAAGTACTATGGATGTCCCCTTTTTTTGAAAAAAAATGGGTATAGGGGAAGGGAATTATAAGTTAAGTTAAAGTTCAGATAACCAATCAACTAAGATTTCTACTTTTATTCATATTGATGCTCATTTGAAGTTTAAAATGGACTCTTAACACAACTTCAACTTCCAAAAATCACAATTTTAAGTTTCAAATTCAAAATCTAAGCTTAAATGAGGGCTAATTGATTGTCACAATTTTTTCTACAGTTCCAGTTCCATTTACAAGAATGTAAAACTTAAAAAGTTCAAAAAGGTAAAAAAAAACAAAAAAAAAACAGAAATTGAAATCATAGCTGAAAAATTGTATTACCTCAAGCCCTTGTGTACCCAACTTTACTTAAGGAATTTAGATTTGGGAGTTATGCTCCATTTTCAAACACCAAATGCTAGATTAGAAGTGGCCAAATTAAATGGGAAAAAAATAAGCTCAAAGATCTTTTAAAGTCTTCAATTAAATAAAAGCTACAAATTGGGATTCTTTTGAATATTCTATAGCACTCTCTCTTTTTTATTTCAGTCTAAAATAAATGAAAATTTTAATTTAGACACGTTTTAAGAAACTGACCATTCTTAACAAAATGAAGTGTTTTTTTTTAATCAATCTACTAGGTAAAACATCACCAATTTTAAAACAAGAAAAAAAGATAAAAATCATAATCTAGGTAGAATAAAACGGAGGGAGTAAAGAAGTTTGGGGAAAAAAGCAAAACAATAATATTGCAAACTATATTCGATAATAAATGTCATTTACTGACTTTCATAAGGGATGTGACTCACTCTAAAATTAATTTAAACCATTAAAAATTTCTTAGAAACAAGATTATAATAAAAAAATAAAAAATGCACATTAATTGACATATTGATGTAAAATTAAAGAATAAAGAGAATAATATAAAGATGAAGACAATAATATAAGACAAAATGAACAATATAAGATCACAATCTTTCTTTTAAGTATTTATTAAATTTTCAAGTTTATATAATATGAATTATTATGTCTCTATTTATAATTTAACATGGAGACGTACAAAAGGTTAGTCATAAATATGACATTGACATTAATATAATGGGGAGATTATGAGAATAAAATGTTACATGAATAATGGTTATGAAGGTAAATGTTATGGAGGTCATAATGAGGAATAGTGGAGATAATGTGTGAGTAACTTTTTAGTGTAGTGGACATTCACATTATAATATTTTATAACATTCACCCTTGGATGTCTATAAATAATATGCCTTGTTAAAACCTTACTAGGAAAAAACCATGTGGGAAAAAAATTCTAGTAAAGTAAAAAGAATAGACATATCTTTTAATACGCTTGAATGTTGCCTCGTTAAAAACCTTACTAGGAAAAAATTTTAATAAAGGAAAAAGAGTAAACATATCTTTTAATATGCTTGAATGTTGCCTCGTTAAAAACCTTATCAGGAAAACCTATTTGGGATAAATCATGGTTAAGGAAAAGAGTACAACACATATTTTTCTCTCCCTGATAAAAACTTTACTTGATATCTCGGAGACGATGCATTCCAATCTTATATCACAACTTCTCAAATATTGATGTTGGTAATCCTTAGTGAATAAGTTTACAAGATTATCACTTGAACAAGCCTTTGAACGTCTATCTCACCATTTTGTTGAAGATTATGTGTGAATTTTTTTTTTGGTGAAATATGTTTTATCTGATCTCCTTTGGTTGTATCCTCCATTCAATTAAGCTATATATTATTTTCGTATATGACGATTAGAATATCCTTTATCAAAGAAAAATCGCATATTTTTTGAATGTGATAGATCATGATTCCAATCTAACACGCCCATGATTTACTTCATAGATCAATATGATTTGAAGAGTGATTACTAATGTTTGTTGAATGCTGAGATTTTGTTGTGCCTCCATATGTAAGCAAATAGCTCATTTGCAATCGAGCTTTATGTAGATCAAATAAACATTTTACATTTACATAATCAAATTATTTCTGCCTGATGAGAGATTGATCAATTTTATTGAAGCTCGTCTTTTCTTCTCAAAGAAAGTCACACATCTTCTAGCATTTGCATAACCATCAATCTGTAAGTGCGTTACTTGTACTAATACATGACATTTTAAATCATTTTCATAAGGTGAAAAAATCCTTTCTTTGTGTTAAGTAATCTCAAAGTCATTGAATACTCAATAGAATTGCTTTAAGACTTTTTAAATCCTTTAAGAATTTCATATAACTTTTATAGTCTATTTAGACATAATAATCATTTATTATGAATATTCAAATATTTCATCTATTATCAAACGAAATAAATCTTATTACATGTTATTTTATATTTGCTATATATGAAAATTATGTTTTAATACCAATAAATGAAAAAAATAAATGACAATTAAAACAAGTTAGGCCAACGGCCGAATTGTCATAATGAACATTTAAGGCAATTTAATTTTTCACTGTCAGCTGAAATGTAAATGCAAACTAGTATAAAAAAAATATTGTTCGAAATATTAAAATAATATTTCCTAGAAATTAAAATAATATTTTCTTAAAATATTAAAATAATTATTTTCAAACATAATCTCCAGAAGGTTTTTGAAATATCAGAATAGTTGTTTCTGTCCGCTAACTATTTTAGGATATCTAATAATATTTATTAATTTGATAAAGTCAGTAAATAATTTTATATTTAATTTCTAATTATTTTCATTATTAATTATAGTTATTTCTCTGTTATATTTTTTAAGATATTATATGTATTATATTTGAAGGATAATGTAATTAAATTACACTTTTATTATTAATTTCTTTAAAAATATAGAGAGCTAATACAGATATGTTATTACAAGCTATGTTATATATCTAATCAATGTACCTTGCGGAAAGTGACGAGTTAGTTGCCTAATTAACTAGCTTTTAAAAAGACCCACTCTTTAATATAATTACAATATATAAATTTATTGGATAATTTTTTTTGATTTATTTTTAAAAAATGATATTTGAATCTATTTCGAAAAAAATAAATTTATTTTAGATTTGTTATTTTACTTTATAGATGATTTACAACCAAATATATGCGTCTTGTAAAAAATTATTATAAATTTTAAAAATATTTCTTTTTAAACCTCGTATTCATTAGGTTAAAATACAAATTCAGCCTTGCACCATGTTTGCATGGTTAATATTACCTCTTGTATTGCATCATATTGCTAGTCTAAATACAATATTCGTTTTGATTGTTACTTCAATAGTGTATCATTAAAACCAATTATTAGATAATGATAAAAAAATTTATTTTATATAACGACTGATTAAGTGAGATTGTGTTGTTATCGTAATATTTTCCTCATTTTGTCTCTAATTATTATTTAATAAATTCTATTTTATCATTTACCCTGTAATTTCATAATATCTATACCCATACACTAAAACTTCTTATAGATTTATTATTCAAATTATATATATGACATTACGTGATAAATCTATCTAAATATTCTATACATTAAAACGATACAACTTCATATAATGTATTATGAAATAATACCAAACAACCGCCGAAAATATGTGTTATTTTCTAGAAGCTTGCTTAGTCATGCTCCAACACTTAATAATTGGGTAGAAACAAGACAACCAAATCCTATTATATAAAATCCAGACCTTCTTCCAAATTTCTACACTCAAATCAACTTCCATACCATACATACCTTATCTTCAATTTCTCTCTAGAGTAATTTTTTTTCCATGGCTACTTCCAATGACAACAACAATGAGGATTTCACACAAATCGATTGTTGGTATAGAATCTATAAAAATGGTCGAGTCGAACGGTTCTATGACAATTTTGGCGTAACATACGTACCCCCGTCACTTGACGATCCACAAAATAATGTCTCATCTAAAGACGTTACAATTTCACCACACGTTTCTGCTAGACTTTACCTTCCAAAAAACACAACAAATTCCACCCAAAAACTTCCCATTATAGTGTATTACCATGGTGGTGCACTAGTTCTTGGATCTGCTTTTTTTAACACGTACCATAATTATCTCAATGTCTTGGTTTCTGAATCCAACGCAATCGCGATTTCAGTTGAGTATCGATTAGCCCCTGAACATGATGTGACCACAATTTATGATGATTGTTGGACGGCACTTCAATGGGTCGCATCACATGCTAATGAAAAAAAATTCACTAGTGATAACGAAGACCCGTGGATAAAAAATTACGGAGATTTTAGTAGATTGAGTATCATTGGAGACAGTGCTGGTGGGAATATAGTTTATCATATGGCAATGAGAGCAGGAAGAGAAGGTGGTATTAATGAAAAGGTATCTATTAATGGTTCGATTTTTGTTTGTCCTTACTTTTTGGTTCCAATTGAAAACATCGAACAAAATGTATCGTACAAAAATTGGATTGTTATTAGTTCACCATCCGAATCTGGGCTACATAGTCCACTAATTAATCCACTTGCTGAAAATGCTCCTAGTTTGTCTCAGTTGGGTTGTTCTAGGATGTTGTTGTGTTTCGCGGAGAAAGATGAATATATTCCAAAAGAAATTGGGGTTCGATTCGTCGAAGGCGTAAAAAAAAGTGGTTGGAAAGGGGATTTGGAGTTCATTGTAGTTGAAGATGAAGGTCATTGCTCTCAACTAAATAATCCTAATACAGAGAAATCTCAAGATTTGATCAAGCGTTTTGCTTCTTTTATCCAACTTGAATAATTTTAAATGTTTACATTAAATATTATTAAAAAGAAATATCATCCTTGTTGCTTCAATAATTCTCTTATCTTGATTTTTGTTATCATGGAATATTATTTTTGATTGCCTTATCATCAAAAAGTGGAGTAATAAATGCAATGCAGGAATAATATTATTTTATATTATGTTGATTTCATATATTATGTAAAATGTATATATTGTTTTAATGCAGAAATAACATATGGAATAAGAATATATTAAACTTAATAATATATATTCTAAAACTATCAAATAGAGTAACAAAAGTTATTCTTCATGTTGCAATTAATATCTTATTTTGCCAAAAAGATAAAGAAAAACTTTAAAATGTGCTAGTTGAGATAAAAATCTGTGCTAGCCCAAGCCCAAGCACAATGTTAATTCATAATATTATATAAATTACCAATTTTGTCTTTGAGTTAAGTATCGAAACACTTTTAAATTTAGCATAAATTAAGTTTCGTGTTCATGAATTATAGATAATCTTAAAAACAGTTTTTTATTGACAAATTTAAATAGACCCCTGCCAAATGACATAGCAACTAGTATTGAACTCTCGTAAATTAAAAATACCTTCAAACTTGATGATGATTTAAGAATGTGTTTCACTAATACTGTAAGATGAATATTGTATCTAATTAGTTCTATATTAGTCAAATAAAATATATTTAAGATCATCAATAATTCAAGAATTAGAATTGTCTTTTGTACTTCGCTCTAAAATTATTGATAGTTTCAAAATGATCTAAATAAAATGGTCAAAATTTAGAATGTTCTTTAAATATTCTCCTAAATCTATAATACTCCATATGGCCACAACTGAAATAAGTTGGATCCAAATATAGTGTTTCAATTGTTGCTTTCTCCCTGTTTAAATATCCTATGATAATAATCATATAAATATATAAATTTACCATAACGCCATTCCAAAACTCAAAAGAAAAAAAAATTCTAAAACTTTGTAAAGTTTCTTTATACTATTAGGCTTATGTGACATGAAGACTACATAAACACCCCTGCATTTTTTATTTTTTTCAGATTGTTTTTGAATTAAATAATTAAGACCTAATTTATCAAATAATTGGTCAGACATGTAATTTTAAGCACGTGAAATGAAAATTATGCTAGAGAAAATAAAAAAAAAATATCGAAAGCATTTCTAGAAAGAGATTGTTACAGAAACTTGAGAGCAATTGTATACCATATCTGAAAAAGCTACTGAATTAGACTACTTTCAAATATCAAAATGTGCAAATTGAGATATTTTAACAAGGATAAAGAAAGATATAATAAAGAAAGTAGATATGTTAAAACATAATAATCTAGAAATAAAATTGTAGTTATTTGATTTGTATGATCATTTGTACCTTTTCCATGTAGTGTAGGTGGTTATGAGATTAGGTTCTCTCCAGGTGTATTGACCTTTCTTTTGTTGGTTTATGTTATAACCACATTAGTTAAAAAAACTTACTTTGTTTTTCATTTTATTTTAGTAATGAATTAAGTTATTTGTAAACTGATTAATAAAAAGAAAAAGAATTGACTTATTATTCTACTAAAGGCTTTGATTATCACACATGGGAGACAAATGCATGCCTTTTGTCACCAACTTTGTAAGCCTAGAAGTAAAAGATAATTATAGAATATAGATAGTGAATTTGTTGCTCTGCCAAGCCAAGAAGATCAATATGTTGGTCTTTATTTATTTATCTAGTTCCCTCATTTGGCTACTAACTTGACTATGTATTACCTCATCCACCTAGCAGCATCCTTAGCGGCAATAAATATTAATATTAATAAAGAGTATTAAATTTTTATTAATATTATTTAAATGTCATTATTTATAAGAAAATTATAAATTATATGGGGATTTTCCTGAGAATTAATACTAAAATTTGCATAAAATTTATTTTCCTCCAAATTTTCATAATAATTTCAAGAAAAATTATCATGTAATTCACAATTTCCTTGTAAGGATATAATCAATGTCTTTAAAGGTTGTAGGAATATATACAAAGAATAGTAATAATAAATAAAAATACATATTTTACTACAATTAAAAATTAATTTTCACTAATAATCATTTTTGAAATTAGATTAGCAGTAAAACTTAAAATAATGATTGTATTTTGGGGGGAAAAAACTAGTAAAAATACTAGTTATATAAAACTTAAAACTCTACGTATAAAGCTAAACAGCCTTTTCTTTTCTTCAAACTTTTCTTTTGAATTTTGATGTATGATTTCTAGAAGGTTGTTGAGGATTCAAATAGCTATTCAAATTTGAAATTTAAATACGTATTTATTTTATGCTAATTAAGAAGATTTAACATTTTATTTTATATATGTGTTAAAAGTTATTTTTACTTTATTTAAATAGGAGTAAAATTTTCTGATAGATTGTTGCATATATGACTTCACAATTGATTTGATGATTTAACTTTTTTTTTAATGAATGTTCACCCTTTAATTTCCTCCTAGTGGTCAGTCTAACATCTAGAAAATAATTGAAATTGTTTAAGATCTTATCTTAGACCAAATATAACATGGTTAGTACCCAAGTCCCCGGAATATATAACTTTTTTTCCCATTTTATTTCTTTCGTCCCGTATTAGCTGATCATCTTATAAAAAATAATTATTTCTTATTAGTTAATTTTATTAAATCAAAAAAATATTAATTATAAAAAAAATTATATTACCCTTTACAATTTATACTGTTTAAAAAATGTTCATATTTGTTTGTATTATTGTATGATTCCCAAGAAGCTTCTTAAGGAGTACTGAAACAAAAACGATTGTCATCTTATTTATAATTTCTTAAATATTGTCCACCATCAGAAGCTGGGCTACATAGTCCATTGATTAATCCACTTGCTGAGAATGCTCCTAGTTTGTCCCAGTTGGGTTGTTCCAGGATGTTGTTGTGTTTCGCAAAGAAAGATGAATATATTCCAAAAGAAATTGGGGTTCGATTCGTCGAAGGTGTAAAGAAAAGTGGTTGGAAAGGGGATTTGGAGTTGATTGAAGTTGAAGGTGAAGGTCATTGCTTTCAATTAGCTAATCTAGAAAGTGAAAAATCTCAATATTTGATTAAGCGATTTGCTGCTTTCATCCAACTTAAGTGATTAGAATTAATAATGCTACATTATATATCTTACGCTTTCGATAGTTCTCTTTATCGATATTTTTTTTCATTTTAGTTTGTTTTAATTTAAAGTCCAAAACTACGAGTAAAGTCAATGCAAAAATATTATTAATTTTATATTACATTTGATTTCATTGTTTCCATAATATTTTTGTTTCTACATAACATAATTTTGATTTGACTAGGGTACAAGCTAGCGAAAATTAGTGAATCTTCGACAATAATAAATTAGATAACATAAAAGACCTATAGTAAAAGTAGCATAATATTTAATATAATTTATTCAATTATTTACATATTCAAAAAATATTCAAAATTTGTTGTCTAAAATATTATTTTATTATTTATGTGATTATAAAATTATTTCATTAAGGATAAAAAAAAATTTTCAAAATACCAGGGGTGCATCATTATGATGAGTTAGATAAAAATAATAAAACGTTTTACCCGGAATCAAACCACAGTCACATGAGTGGTCGCACTCACTTATACCAGCCTTCTAATTGCCTTTCATGCTCTCCATGAAGGCAACCTTTTATTTATATTTCGGAAAAGGATCAAATTGTCTCTTTGAGATAAAAAGTATCTTTGTTGTTATTCCAGGAGATCATAAATATCCCTCAAGAGTTAACATCCTAATTTATTAGTGACGTGGCAACCACATGGGACTAATTCCTGCACTTAAGTGATGCCAACTAAAATTCACTACAAAAGAACTTGACTATTAGTGGCGATAAAGTCGCCACAAAATCCCAACATATTGCCACTAAAAGTTATGAGTGATTTTTAATGGCGATTAAGGCTCCAACAATCATTCACTAGTAAAACCTATTTTTTCAACCAAAAATGTATGATAGTTAATTGTCGATTGCAATTTTCTAAAACAAATAACCTGCAATATCAATAAAAAAAAACATCAAATATTATTACGAAAAATAATCAAATTTAGTTCTTGATTCAAATTTTCTACTATCATTATTGTACATTTTATATATTTACATATGACATAAAAATAAAACATACAATGTCTTCGAACTCCTACTTAATTGATATTATTTTTTTGAATTTTTTAAACAATGAAAAAAAACACAACTAAAATTTCATGTTAAAAAGGTTTGGTGACGTTTTTCTGGGCTTTTGTGGTGATTGTTGTTGCTGCTAAAAGTGTAGTTCTATTGCAGTGAATCCTAGTTGGCAATGCTTAGACAGAAGGATTAGACCCACGTGGCTTGCCACATCAAAAAAATTTGAGGTGTTAACTCTTGAGGGTGTTTATGATCTCTCAGAATAACAATAGGGATATCTTTTATCCCAAAATGCAACGAAGAATATAAGTAATCTATTTTGCATTATTCATGGACAATTTTGATTTCCTCCATTTATATATTAATTTTTTTCAGTTTTTAATATATATATTTATGATTTTTTTTCTGAAAGTTATTAGATGCGGCCACCTGGGTCTGCCTCTGGTTCGACTACGTGATGGCTATGATTATCAAACATGGAAGGCAAATTTGCCTTTGTAAGCCAACAAGTAAACTATATTTTGGTTTTTATGACTACTAATGAGAAATGACTAATCAATATTTTGACCGTATATTATCACATGCACGTGATGAGATGAGCAGTATAGACATTATACACTACACAATACTGTCCTTTCTATATCGCAAACATAAGGGATAATGTCCAGTATTCCCTCAATCTATGTCCGAAATCTCAGAGACACACTTATACTACACTAAGGTCCTATTATCACCCTAAACTTATTTTATTAATAATTTTTTACTCCTTTTTAGCCTACGTGGCACTATCTTGTGGACCCACGATAGTTGACATTTTTTAAAACTAGTGCCACGTAGGCTAAAAAGGGGTAGAAAATTACTTATAAAATAAGTTCAGGGGATAATAGGACCTTAGTATAGTATAAGTGTGTCTCTGGGATTTCGGGCATAGGTTGAGGAGGTACTTGTGCATTTTCCCCAAATATAATTAAAAGTATCTCTATAATAGTTTAAATTTTCTTGAAAATAAGAATTTATCTAATTTTTGAGAAACAAAAAAAGTATGATTATTTTTTTTCTTTTTTTACCCATTTTACTTTGAAATTGGAAAAATTCCTTAAATAATCTATACTCCATTCGTCCACTTATAATTGTTATGGTTTCCTTTTTAAAATTAAATTATAAGAATTTTTTATAATATATTTTTTTATCATATTAATATGTAAAATATTACAATTTATAATTATTTTTGTGTTATTTTTAAATATTTAATATTTTTTATTTGAAATATCTAATTAATAGAATTTAATTTTGACTTTAATAATTAATTAAATTAATTTTAGAAAACAGAATATGATAATTAAAAATGAATGGACAAGAGTATAATTTAAACTTCTTTTGAAAAGTCATGTTTTTCAAGAGTGCTTTGGCAATAAATATATTTAAATGCTTTGATGGGAAAACAAATGTCTCTAAGTTCGTTATTATTTATCATGGTTTCTAATTTTAGAGTCAAACTATAAAAAATTTAATTAACATTTTAAGATGCATTTTTTCATCATATTAATATGCAAAAAATTATATTTTATAGTAATTTTCATATAGTTTTAGAATATCTAATTTTTTTTGTTTAAAATATCGAATCAATGTGATTTAATTTATCTTAAAAATTATTCAAATTGACTTTGATTAGTGCTACATGACAAACAATTTCGAACGAATGAGTATATATTTAAAGGGCGAACTTTTACGTACCAATCAATTTCAAATTCACGAGCAATTATCTTTTCTTTGAATTTTCTTTTCACGTATAATTTCTAGAAGTTGTGTTGAGAGTTCAAACGGCTAGACTATTCAAAGTAGTCCTTTTTCATGATAATACATCCTCTTAATATTCTTGATGCACGTAAGTATATAAATCCCATTATCTTCCAAATTTCTATAACCAAAAAAAAAAACTTTCTTACAAAAACGATTATATATTCCATGGCCAATTCCAATGATAACAACAATGAGATTGTGGCTGAAATGCATGGTTTCTATAGAATCTATAAGGACGGTCAAGTTGAACGTTATATATATCAAAAAAGTATCTTATTAACGTACGTTTCCCCATTACTTGACGATCCAAAAAATAATATCTCCTCTAAAGATGTTATAATTTCACCACACGTTTCTGCTAGACTTTACCTTCCTAAAAACACAACAAATTCCACCCAAAAACATCCTATTATAGTGTATTACCATGGTGGTGCACTAGTTCTTGGATCTGCTTTTTTTAAAACGTACCATAATTATCTCAATGTCTTGGTTTCTAAATCCAACGCAATCGCGATTTCAGTTGAGTATCGATTAGCCCCTGAACATGATGTTACCACAATTTACGAAGATTCTTGGACTGCACTTCAATGGGTCGCATCACATGCTAATGAAAAAAAATTCACTAGTGATAACGAAGACCCGTGGATAAAAAATTACGGAGATTTTAGTAGATTGAGTATCATTGGAGACAGTGCTGGTGGGAATATAGTTTATCATATGGCAATGAGAGCAGGAAGAGAAGGTGGTATTAATGAAAAGGTAACTATTAATAGTTCGATTTTTGTTTGTCCTTACTTTTTGGTTCCAATTGAGAATATTGAAGAACATGCATCGTACAAGAATTGGCTTATTATTAGCTCACCATCAGAAGCTGGGCTACATAGTCCATTGATCAATCCACTTGCTGAGAATGCTCCTAGTTTGTCCCAGTTGGGTTGTTCTAAGATGTTGTTGTGTTTCACGGAGAAAGATGAATATATTCCAAAAGAAATTGGGGTTCGATTCGTTGAAGGCGTAAAGAAAAGTGGTTGGAAAGGGGATTTAGAGTTGATTGAAGTTGAAGGTGAAGGTCATTGCTTTCAATTAGCTAGTCCTGAAATTGAAAAATCTCAAGATTTGATTAAGCGATTTGCTGCTTTCATCCAGCATTAATTAATTAATAGGGTACACTACTATAGCAACATCCAACTTGTTGCTTTGATTAGTTCTCTTTTATCTTTATTTTTATTTATCATGATGAGATGGTACGCAAAATAGAGTATCATAAAAATAAGCATACTATTTAATATAATTTAATCAAGTTATTTACATAATATTTAATAAAAATTAGACAGTACCTATAAAATAATCAATTTTCTTTTTATATATATAGAGATAGATAGATCTTGAATCTTCTTAACAAAAAATAAAAAAATTCACAGAGTAGTTTGAAAATTCAGATAGATTTTGAATCTCAAGAAAAGTGATTTGAATGGGGATTTGGATTTCATTGAAGTTGAAGGTGAAATTTCTTTCAACTATAGCTAGATCCTCAAATTGAGAAATCACAAAATTTGATCAAGCGTGTTGTTTTTTTTAATCTGATTTTGGTAATAAGAGATCGTTTGGTCGGGAACATGTTATTCTGAGATTAATTTTTTTGAGATAAGTTATTTCACCATGCATATTGTTTTACTTATTTCATCACTATGACATAAATGGTGAAATATATAATCGTCGAACTGCCTAATACTTCCAACCAAACGCGAGATACAATAGTTATATCTTTTATTCTAAAATTATTATACCTTAGACCTTCAATATATAGATGAAGCAGCACCTCCCTAAAATATAATAGAACTCCCAATCAATCTCAAGCCAACCAATGACATCTTATCTATGATGGAACAACGCTTGACCACCAAAGAACTTGGTCCCATATTTGGTATGGAAGCAACTGTGCTCTGGACCTAAGTACCTAGAATAAAAATTAAAAGTATTATTTTCTACTTCAAAAATAAAAATTATCATCATTTTTAATTTTCACAAATAAAAAATAGTCAAACACCTACTTTAAACATAGAATTAGAAAATCTCCATGCGTAAACCAAATACTATTAGAATTAGAAAACATCCAAGTTTATTTTCGACACGTTTTCCTTTTCCTTATCCTTTTCAAATTTTGATATCTATATTATATAAATATAGGCTACAGGGGTGAAAACAATAAAATAAATATAGGACTCTCCTGAACCTGAAGGAACATTAATGTTTTAATTCTTTTTTGTATTGTTCAGTGGTGAAATCAACTATTATAACAGACAGATTTGAAAAGAATGGATGATCAGCAACTTGCGAGGAGATCTATGCAAAACCTAAGCTGCTACTTTCTATTGTGTCGAAGATGTTAGAAATGTTATATACATTCCTCCCTATCACAATCTTGCTTGCCGATCTCAAATTCTCTCTTCCAATTTCGTTTGCTATATATACAAATGTATATGTATAATATATAATTATCTAACCTATATATATATATAATTCACCTTTCTCCCACTTTCTGTAATCTTTGCTTGCCTCTCTCTTCCCTCTTCCGATTTCGTTCACCTCTCTTCTCCTGTAACATGTAGCTATAAATTGTAATTATCAAACTATAACTATAGAGAGTAATTATATTATTTTTTAATGAATATATGTGAAAGTTTCTTATAACATTATAATGAAGGATATTTGAATGAGCTCGGCCCATGTTTAAAAAATATAAAAAGGGCTTTACACAAAAAAATTCAAAAATAAATAACCTCCATCTTGGTCCCTCTTATTTTTTCCAAAAAAAAAAGAAGAGAAGAAAAAAAGAAGGCAAGTTCGACAGAAATTAGAAAGCATTGAAAATTAAGGCATAATACATAAATATGTTCTTTAACTTGGTTTTAAATTATATTTATGTCCTTCAACTTTGGGTATGCAAAAGCAGACATTTAAACTTGTATAAAGTTGAACAAAAAGACACACATGTCCTATATGTTATTTTTCGTGTCATTTTTTGTCCTATGTAGTATCCTATGTGTATTTTGCCATGTAGAATTCATGTGTGTATTTATTTAAAAGTTGGATAGTTAAAGTGGAGTACGGAGCCTAAAGGGTACAAAATATCAAGTATATAAAATTTTATATTAACCAAAACGGCAAAATCGCTGCATCAACAGCGATTTACTTCACCGGAAAAAGCAAAATCACTACCGAGACTCCGTACCAAATTTAAAATCTAATATACGTATTATGTCAAATTAATGTGTAGCCATATCCTCTTCCAGCTGTTAGAGATCAGAAAATATAAATATTAATTTATTTATTTTATATTATCTTTAACAAATTTAAAATTGGATAATGACAGTAAGACTGGATCTATATTGGATCTTCAATATATATATTGAGAATAACCACATACACCACAACACCATTCTCATATTTTACAAAATTTCTCTCTACCATGACTTCCGATGATAATAACCAAGTGGTCAATGAAGTGAAAGATTACTATCGACTCTACAAAAGTGGCCGTGTTGAGCGTTTCTACGAGGTGCACGGCTCCTTCTATGTACCACCATCGCCACAAATCCCATCAAGCGGCGTATTCTCCAAAGATGTCACAATCTCCCCCCACGTCTCTGCTAGACTCTACCTCCCGGAGAACATTCCTAATTCCCGAAAAATCCCCGTGTTAGTATATTACCACGGGGGCGGACTTGTCATAGAATCCGCCTTCTTCAACAGGATGCATGCATACGTTAACTCTTTAGCTTCTGAATTAAATGTCGTTGTTGTTTCTGTAGAGTACCGATTAGCCCCAGAAGTTGATGTGCCAACAATTTACGAAGATTGTTGGACTGCACTTCAATGGATCGCTTCACATGCTGATGAAAATTTGTCTAGTGTTGATAATAATAATGATTCGTGGTTAACGAATTTTTGTGATTTTAGTAAAGTGTTTGTAGTTGGGGACAGTGCTGGTGGCAATTTAGTGTACCACATGACTATGAGGGCCGGCAAAGAAGGTTTGAATAATGATATGAAAATTACTGGATCAATTTTTGCGTATCCTTATTTCTTGTTCCCAAATGTTGAAATCGATGAAGAGGGTTTGGCTAATAAGATATGGGGATACATTTGTCCACCACTAGAGTGTGGGGTATTATCCCCAATTGATAGTCCATTAATTAACCCGCTTTCTAAAAAGGCTCCGTCTCTATCGAGGCTAGGTTGTTTGAGGATTTTGGTGTGTATGGGAAAAAAAGATGATATAATTCCTCTGGAGATTGGGGTTCGATTTGTTGAAGGTGTGAAGGAGAGCGGATGGGACGGAGAAGTGGTGTATCTTGAGGTTGATGACGGACATGCCTTTCAGATGTATAAACCTGAATCAGACGAGGCTAAACGTATGATGAAGTGTTATGCTGATTTCATTCATCGCGAGTGTTGACAAAGAAATTAACACAACTTTGTGTTGTTTATTGAGAGCAATTGTTTGGCTTTATTTATAAAATGTACTTTCTACCTTATGATCTCTCTCCCCACGAAAATGAACTTTGTTTATATGAGATCGAGTCTATAAGGTTTGATAGCCATCGACCGAAGATGAACATGTGTTGAAATATTTAATTCCTCATTTTTTATATTCTATTTTTGCTAAGATATATGCGATTTTGATTGGATTCTCCGTAACAATTTTGATTAATATGAGAGTTCATGAATTCCATTCAAAAGTTCTACGATTACCATACGTACAAAATATAGCCCCAAATCTTATTAGCCAAAACCTCTTTATCAATTTCTATATTTGGGAACAAAGCAAAAATCGATCCATTAATTTTCATAATCATTATTCAAGGCTTCTGTATCGGCCCTCAGTGTCATATGCTACACTAAATTTCCACCAGTCTGTCCCCAACTAAAAACACTTAACTAAAATTGGTTAATTATAATTTTCATCTCCATGTGAAGCGACCCATTGAAGTGAAGACCAACAATCTTCATAAATCAACTACTAGGAGTTTTTGGACATGGAAAATGTTCTCCTAAAGATAGGAGTCTAGCAGAGACACGTGGTGAAATGGTAACGTTTTTAGAAAAAATATTATTTAATGATTCGTTAAAAAAATATGATATGATGATAGTTATGGTGATGGTGGATAGAATGAACCGAGTGCACATGGCTATATTAAATGAATCATTTTGGTCAAAGTTGCTAACAGTTTTGGTGGAACAAACACACATGAGAGATTTGAACAAATAATTCTTAAAAACTGTTAAGGAAAATATTACGTCCTTCGTTTAAAAAATATTTAAAAGGAATAATTTTTTTGTAATATTTTAATTTTAATATTTCATGTAATATATTTAAAAATCATAAAATTAAAATATATTTTGATATATTGACATAATTTTAATTTAGAATTATAAAATTAAATTTTTTTTATTCTTTTATTAAATTCTATTTCAAGTTAAATTGAATTATTCATTTTTAAACTAAAAAAATATTAGAAAAATCTTTCACTTTTAAATAATGATGATGATAGTTACGTTATGAGTAACGTCAAACTTCTTTTAAAAAAATAAAATTTAAAAGACTTTTGAAAGAAAAGACAACTCACCAGTAGAAAGTAAAGAGAGTTCACTAACTTTGACCATTAAATAATGCAAGGCCAAATCACCATAAAATAATAGGAACTTATTACGTAAATATATTATATCAAAAAAATATTTAATATTTTATATTTATTATACTTAGACACTTGTAATATATTTTATGATACAACTTTAACACTTATTATAAAAAATCGTTTATAAAACACATAAAAGACTAGAATAACTTTATCAAATAATAATTATTAATTGAATAATTATTCATGATCACTAAAAATGTAGAAGTACTCTATCGGATATTTTCTATTCCAGTTAAGATTCTTCGAGACTATTATATTCCATCTTAAATCTTAGCTAATGCTTATATATAAATTATAAAGTATTATATTTTTTTAAGAAACGTCTTAAAAATTTGATAAATTCATAAAAACATTAAAAAAGAGATCAAACAGAGGGAATGAAAAAAATTATACTCACATTATTTATAAATAAAATATAGTTGCTTCATCTTATTTATAATCATTAGTGTGGACCGTGTTTAAGCATGCTTAAACGAATCTTGATTATTGGCTCAACCGGTTCTTTAATCACCACTTTAAGACAAATAAAAACAGAACAACCAACTTCCATTATATAAACATGCACTATGATTCCAAAATTAACTTGTTAATTACCTTGTAATACTCCATTTCTTCAAAATTCTATATATGGCTTCATCACATGATTTGGTGGCTGATGTTTATCTAATATTTCGAATTTACAAAGACAATTGAGTTGAACGTCTTAATGATATAAATCCTAGTATAGGCTTTTCTTAATTGTGAATATTTACTAATTCTTTTCTCTGTTTAACTTTGATTGTCTTATAATATTTAAATTTTGTGTCACATTACACGTTAAAACATTTGACTCTTATATTAGTGAAATATTTGGCTTTATTGATATATTATTTTGAATCATTTATTTGATCAATAAACTAGTGAGAATGGACAACAAAATGACAAATCAGCTATCTAACTTTATTTGACAAATATCTTTAATAATTCAATTATTGAATTGATTGTATAAAATAATACATAACTGGATCACATGATCCTGATTCAAAATATAAAAAGGATACTACTCCTATATTTAAAATATTTTGCCATCAAACAAATGATCAGCAATCATGCGTCAATTTTTTAATCATTTTGATTCTTTGTGCCCCATAAAAGCTAAGCTCTAATTATTTATAGTTGGGTCATGTTGTTTTCTCTTTATTGTTAAAAATTAACTATGACAAAAAGGATATATAGCATTATTTAAAAAAAAAAATTATTCTTTGTAATTAGTTCTACGCAATGTAATTTATATCGAAGTTTTCTGTTACATAAACTAATAAAGAATTCTATCGTTTGATTATCGATGGAGCTCACTCGTAGGCATATATAAAGAAAAGTAATTATATAAACATATTTTGAATATACACATTATTTTCACAATACACTATTACTCATTGATATTTAAAAATAAATATAATATGATAGATATTGAATATAACAAAGTGGTTGAGATTGTTAGATATTGATGAGGACATTATCCTCGCAAGATTGATAATTCACCATTCATAATAGTCATGCATGACGTTATATATTTGTCTTTATGAAATAATTTCATCTATCATTCTATATTTCAGAAATTTCAAAATGCTCGTTTTGCTACCAAACAATTAGTCACCATACTAATTTAGCTTAACTTTTTTGTCATTTTTCTATTTCTAGTTTTGTACCCATAATTAAACTCCAATTATTAGTTGTATCTAACATATTTTCTCTGTCTCAATTTTTATATTTTGAAAATTAAATAATTAAATTTAATTAAAAATTTAAACTAAAGTTTTTAATTTAGTTAAAATAAAATTAATATATTTATAAACTATATAAAGTATTATAAGTCAAAATAATTAATAATTCAATAAAATATTATTTTTCTTTCTAAAATTTAAAGCAATAAAATACCAAACCAAGCATTCATCAATGAATTACTCTCACGCCCAATAATTCTCCCAAACAAAGTTTCTCTACTACAATGGCTTCTGATGACAATGTAATAGTCAAAGAAGTCAACGATTACTTCCGGTTATACAAAAGCGGCCGCGTTGAGCGTTTCTATGACGTACACGGCTCCTTCTACGTTCCACCGTCGCCGGAAAATCCATCCGCCGGCGCTTTTTCCAAAGACATCACCATCTCACCTCACGTCTCTGCCAGACTCTACCTCCCGGAAAACACCACCGCCGGCCAAAAACTCCCCGTCTTAGTATATTACCACGGCGGCGGACTTTGCATTGAATCTGCTTTTTTTACATGGACTCACCGTTATGTTAACTCTTTAGCTTCCGAATTAAACGTCGTTGCTGTTTCGGTAAATTACCGTTTAGCCCCTGAAGTCGATGTGCCGATTATTTACGAAGATTGTTGGACCGCACTTCAATGGATTGCATCACATGCCGATGAAAATTCGAATAGTGATAAAAATAATAATAATGATGATTCATGGTTAACGAATTTTTGTGATTTTAGTAAAGTATTTTTAGTTGGTGATAGTGCTGGTGGCAATATAGTGTATCATATGACTATGAGGGCCGGCAAAGAAACGTTGAATAATAATAATGAGGTGAAAATTATAGGATCGATTTGTGCGTATCCATATTTTTTAATTGGAGATATCGATATTGATGAAGAAGGTTTGGCTTATAAGATTTGGGTTAATATTTGTCCGACATTGGAGTTCGGGTTATTATCCCCAATTGATAGTCCATTGATTAACCCGCTTTGTGAAAAGGCTCCATCGTTATCAGGGTTAGGTTGTTCGAGACTTTTGTTGTGTATGGGGAAAAAAGATTATGTTATTCCTATAGAAATTGGGGGTCGATTTGTTGAAGAAGTGAAGAAGAGCGGGTGGGATGGAGATTTACAGTTTGTTGAGATTGATGAAGGACATTCTTTTCAGATATATAAATCTGAATCTGAAGAAGCTAAACGTATGATGAAGTGTTATGATGCTTTCATCAATCGCTAGTAAAGTACAATTTACACCTAAAGGGCCTGTGAGTTGTGACAAACAAAATTTGCTTCGCTCGTGAGTTGGGTTTGTAACTTTTTTGTTGTTTGCTTTGATTTTCTTTTTTATATTAGTTGTTACTGATGAATGTTTATTGCAAAATAAATCTCATTTTCACTAAGATAACTCAGAGCATGTTGAAATTTTTATAAAATTACTTACTTCTGCGACTTATAATCGATAAATATTTGGCAAACATTTGGATAAGTACCCATTTAGATCTTGTTTTGGTATATACACTACAAAATTTGATATCGATTCGAAAAGGAAACAATGAATTAATTTTTTGTTGGTATATTTTACACAAATTTCAAAATGGTAAGAGCTAATTACACTATATTCTTATTTTTTTTAAAAATTGTAAAAATCTCATAAAATTTAAGGATTTCGAATAAATTACCTTAACGTCTCGATACTTCATGTCCCAATTTTAAATATATCACTCAATATCTCGATATATTACATTTATTGATACAAGACACACTTATCTTAAAGCTTAAGGTCCTATATATCGCTCAATAAATACACCTTTTTTTGAAACATCGCATTTTTATACATCGTGTAAGAGTGCTGTATTAAAAAAATAGAGTAGAAATTTCTGTAATTTTTTTAAATAGAAATTTTTTTAAAAAAAATATCATATATTTTTACACGCAAAATATTAGTATTAGTTTATTAGTTAAGGTTTTGAGTTTAATTGTCACATATTGAAAAATGAAAATTTGAAGCTTTTACATTGGATTTTGGATTAGAATATAGAAAGTGAGGTAATCTAATCAAACAAGGAAATTGTAGAAATGATGCTACTTTTGGCAAATAATCTTAATTGAAAAGGCATACTTCCATAAATTATTATCTTTTGCTTATTTCTTCTTCTTTTTTACTGTACTCGAGAGGTCTCCCGTTTAAAAGAAAATTATAATTTAAATTTTTTAAATTATATTATGTAAACAAAATTTTAATTCTAAATAAATATAATTTATATCACTAATTTCACTCCATTTTCTTTATTCCCTTTCTATTTTTACCAGTCAATACTGACGGCCTCTTTTGGGAATTAGGACGAGAATATTAGACGCCGGCCAGCTGCGAAGCGTACTTAGCCGCGTAATCATAAATAATAAGTTAATTTTATTAGATTATCATTATTAATAAGATAATCAATAAACGTGAGACGGAGAATTAAAAAATATTATCTTATTAATAAAAAATTATTATATCGTGTTTCCATTGTAGTACAGAGTCGGTTATTTATTATTATAAAATGACAACAGTTGAGACAAGAGTCTTTGTCGTAGCTGAATTTGCACCTCAAAAATTATTTTATCACTAATACACCATGAATTCCGGCGATAACGAGGTGGTAGTCGATTTTCCTCATCTCATCCGTGTTTACAAAAACGGCCGAGTTGAGCGGTTGTTCGGTTCACCGATTGTTCCAGCGTCGCCGGAGGACCCTGACACCGGCGTCTCCTCAAAAGATATCGACATTTCGCCGGAGATCAAAGCTAGAATTTACCTCCCAAAACTCACAAACGATCAAAAACTCCCAATCTTAGTCTACTATCACGGCGGAGCATTCTGTCTCGAATCCGCCTTCTCTTTCCTCGACCACCGTTACCTTAACCGCATAGTCGCCGAATCAAATGTCATCGCCGTTTCAGTTGAATACCGCCTTGCCCCGGAACACCCACTTCCGGTAGCGTACGAAGATTCATGGGCAGCTCTTCAATGGGTCGGATCCCATGTTGAATCAAAACCCGGGTTCGAAAAGGAACCTTGGTTAGTTAACCATGGCGATTTCGAGAAGGTACTAATCGGAGGCGATAGTGCCGGAGGTAACATAGCTCATAATATCACTCTCAGATCTGGATCTGAAACCCTAAATGGTGGAATCAAAATCCTGGGTTCATTACTCTGTTTTCCATTCTTTTTAACGTCACATGATTTTAAAGAAGACAGTTTACCCAGTAAGATTTGGGAGTTTGTAAACCCATCAGCTGAAAAGGGAGTTGATGATCCAAACATTAACCCCTTTGTTGAAAAATCTCAAAGTTTATCAACATTAGGTTGTTCAAAGATTATAGTTTGTGTTGCAGAGAAAGATGAACTGAGAAATATTGGGATTAAGTATGTTGAAGCAGTGAAGAATAGTGAATGGAAAGGCGAAATTGAATTGATTGATGTTGAAGGTGAAGATCACTGCTTTCAGATTTTTGATACTGAAACTGAAAAAGCCAAAAATCTGATGAAGGGAATGGCTAATTTTATCAAAAAGTGTTGTGTGTGAGTGTTCTTGGCTATGAACATTTTGGGAAATGTTAAGAAGATTATGCTATCCAAGTTTATTTATCATAGTTACGTAACTATCTTGTGTTATATTCGGAATAAATTATCATTTCGATGAATATTATAGATACGTATCCTTTTTAAGTAACTACAGTATATTATCTAAGTTTGGAAAGTGAGGTATCCTTTTTAAGTAACTATAGTATATTATCTAAATTTGGAAAGTAAGGGTTGAAATCAACTTTAGTCCTTTGCTATTTTTTCTATTGCAGTTTATTTTTATTCTTTTTATTGTTTGACTTATATTTTCATCAAGAAAATAATTATTTATATAAGTATTTTATTACATTATTTTTTTTACTAATTGATGTTTAATATTTTTTTAATTTAATAATAGTTATCCAATATATTAACAATAATTGTTCAATAATAGGTGTTCAATTTAAGAAATCAAGAGATAATTTCTTTTTTGGGAAATTCGCAATCTAGTTAAAATACTAAGTATAATTAATAGAGCTGTAAAAGAAAACCAATCCAGCTTTAAGCCTCGGGGGTCAAGGAATTTGAAGGGCTAGGGCAGACTGGCCCTTCATTTAGGAGAGCCTGAAAATGTTCAACCCAACTCGACCTTAGCAGGGTCGAGGATTAGGGCGAGCTAGTCCTTTCTTTTTTTTTTTTTCAAACTTATAATTCTATGACATCAAAAAAATGAGAAAATATTCAAATCAAATATGACAAACAATAGTGTTTTTTTAATAACACTAACAAAAAGTCTAGTGAAATTAACATTTATCTCGCATACTAGATACGTGAGCAAGATAAGAGAATGACAAACAAGATTAGAGGGAGTCAAGAATACGATATTTGTCTTGCATCCTAGATACGTTCGAATCTACTTGGATAAAGTGTATCTAGAACATAACCTTGAGTTCATATATTTCGTGATACGGGTACATGAACGTACTAAAATCTGATAAAATTCATAATATTAAAACATATTTAGTATTTAAGTAATTAGATTATGTTTTAATGATATTATTGTAAGTTATTTATTAAATAAAAAGTTTTGGCTCATGAGTGACCCCGACCCCACTTCGATCAAGCCTCAACGGTCAAGAGCTTATATGGGTCAGGCTTATAAGCCCTAGTGTTAAAGGAACTTGAAATATCCTATCCCAACAGTACCCCAATAGCGGGTTGGGTGGGCCAGTTCCATTGGTTAAGACCATTTTGACGGCTCTAATAATTAGTCAAAATAACAATACTTTAAAAGTTTATTTAAAACGTCAATATTTTGTAAAATAATTATATTCAAATATTATTATTTATTTTACCTTTTTTTACCCCAAAACAGTCCATCATTGAATCAAATTCTAAACCAATATCAGATAAAAAAGAGGAAAAAAGAAAAAAAAAAACTATTCATTAATCTTCTTTTTCCGCATCGTTCACGTTTCTTTTCCCCCATCATTTTATATTTTCTCTTTCTTCAAATTTCTTGGCATATCAAGAAATACAAATTATGAATAGTTTTCCTAATTTCTTTAACAAATATTAACTTAACTCAAGAAATATCTCAATTGTTAAAGGTAATATCGATTATTTAGTGATATTTACGTTGATTTTGTTCTTAAAAACATCGATTACGGGTTCTATATATACGGATTTTCCATTTTTTTAATTTTATGTGAATTTGGTTAGATAATCATCAAATATTTGTGTTTCAGATTTTTAAGTCTTTTAAATATTTTTTTTTTGATTTTCTTGTGATTTAGTTTTAATATTTTAGATTTAGTAGAACGTCAATTTGGTTATATAATCATCAAATATTTATGTATTTCAATGTTATTGTCTTTTAAATAATTTTTTGTGATTTTGATTTAGGAATCGGGCAATTTCCCTGTCGAGTTTCAGATTTTCGGATGATTCAAAAAGACTCTTCTTGAATCATTGAAACTTGATGAATCAATTGCCATATAGAAGTTTTTAATTGTTCATTCATTCTCAATTCTTAATAATTAAAATATAATTAATTATGTATTCATCCTAATTACGATGTGTAAAACAAAGCTTTTATCTTATTTTGCTTATTTTGTATTCACAATATCTCTTTGTATACCAATAATTTGTATTTATATTTAATTTCGTATTCATTCTCAATTCTAAATAATCAAAATATAATATATTTATTTTAGGGATAATGCACAAGTACCCTCTCAACCTATGTCTAAAATCTCAGAGGCACACTTATACTATACTAAGATCCTA